AGGTGCATTAGTCTGCAGTCCCAAACCTTTCAAATTCTCAGGGAAAAAAAAAAAGCCACCTGTGACGTGTAGCAGCAATACCACCCAGCTGCTCTGCATCACTGTTCATCAGTCTCTTCCAGCTGTTTCTACAGAGCTCAGTCTCATTGTTTGCATGGGCAAATGGGAAAGCTGAAGCACGGAGCACACAAGTGGCTTGTCTGCAGTCACCCCACATAGCAAAACCAGAAACAAATCGCAAATCTGATTGCTAGTCAAACGCTCTGTCCGTTTGCCGACGTTATCAGGTACACAAAAGTAAAAGGTAACAGCTTTCATAATAAAATGGAAAGGATATCGACACTTGAGGTCTAATTCTGCACATGCTTCTCCCCACCTCTCGTACACACTATGGCATAAAAGCATCCTGCCAGACTTTGTGCTGCTAGCCCAGCAAGTGAGAGCAGACCAATCCTAGTTTAAAGGGAAATCTGATTTGGGCACAAATAAAAGCTACCATCAATCATAGGTCTCCCACAGAGTAATCAACCTATGTGTACAAGCACGCATGTGCATATATTGGGAGAGAGGGAGGGAACTTGGAAAACCATGCTCAGACACTTCTCTTGGGTAGGAAGATGGCACAACGCCATCCAATACGATGAGCAGGTTTTAACCAGACATGGCATACTAGAAAATAAGTTTCTGAGAATATCTCTGCTTGATGGCTCAATACTAGAGCTATCACACTGCAGATAAGTACCATTCCCAATCCCTGCTGTCAGCTAAAACATAAGAAAACATAAGACAGGAACCCTTTCTGGAGCAGATTCTATCCCATTGGTACATTTTTTCAGTGCCCCTGCCCAAGACTGACTAATAGAGCACTTGCAAGTGGTAAAAACACATACAGTACATCAATACTAGAGCTATCACACTGCAGATAAGTACCATTCCCAATCCCTGCTGTCAGCTAAAACATAAGAAAACATAAGACAGGAACCCTTTCTGGAGCTTCTTCTATCCCATTGGTACATTTTTTCAGTGCCCCTGCCCAAGACTGACTAATAGAGCACTTAGTGGTAAAAACACATACAGTACAGCTTAAATGGAACACCATCACCTTTTTTTAAAGGTACTTAAATCACACACGTACATAAGAACCCTCTGAAAAGCCCCATATATATGCTACATAAATATTCTTGACACAAGCGTTAGTCTGAGTATTGTGCTTTCAGTAAGTGTTTAAATGACTCGTCCTGTTAAAAGAGCTACTTAAGAACATGAGAAATCATCACTAACTTTATGGGTGTCTTCCTAGTGCATATTGGATCATACTGCAACATTTCTTCAAAGATCATTAAGATATGATTAACGGCTTCAGGAGAGACCTTACCCGATGAGAGATGCTGCCTTGGCTGTCAAAAATGACAGCAGAACCTCGCTTTGCTACTGTAATAGCAGGAGCTAGCTCTCCTGGCCATGAACAGATTGTCTGCAGTCCCAGTGACGTGGGCTGTAAAAATCTTACCTTCTCCCTTTAAACTCTAAGGACAATTTTCCTCCTGTTTCATCAAGCAGCAAAAGTAATCATCTCTTTAAGCAGCAGCAACTGACACCTATTTACTAGGTAATTGCTGCAGTTATAGGGGATTAAGCACACTGAACTCTCTTTCGGTGACAAGGCAAAGCCACCTCCTCCCATCCGCAGCCCTTCCCAGATGCACCCAAGAAGAGCTCAGGGGAGGGGGAGGCCCGCCAAGCCTGCCAAACCGGGGGCACAAATGCTAGCTAGCCCCTCAGGCTTAGCTGCAGCCCCTACCAAAACAAGATGCGTATCCCCAGTGCAATCAGAGCAGTAACTGTGCCAGACCCGACACACGCTCAGCTGCCACAAGGCCACCGGTAGCGGGAGACGCAGAAAAGCACACAAGCATCCCTGTGCCACCGCCAGCCGCGCTCCCCGGCCCGGCTGGGAAGGGGTCTCAGCAGAAGGGAAGGGGTCTCTCAGCAGAAGGCGAGAGCAGAACCCTGCAGGCTCAGCGCTGAGCGCGCCCGCCCTTAAGAGAGCAGCGTGAACAGTACAAGGTGGGAAATAAAAGAAACATGCCAAAGCAGCGAAGGCCTGAGTGGAACAAAGCCTACCCAAGGGAGCATAAATGAAATGCTAATAACAAGAGGCTGTATAGAAACAGAACAGGCTAAATCCAACTAAGTTCCGTTAGGAAATCATGCTTACGCTGCTAGACCAGGCAGATTTGTACAGGTGAGTGGTCACTCTGTGCCTCTGCAGGAGCATCCCATCTAGGACACAAAATACACCAGCTCTCAAAGAGCTGCCACCCAGCTTGAGCTCAGCAGGTGTACATCAAACCTAACAGCAAGGCAGCTTCTCCCACAAAGAGTCTGAAATATTGGCGAGGAAAACAAAGACCAAGAAAGGAAGTAACAGCATAGGCTTGCCAAGGGTTAGGCTATCAGGAACAGAAGCAACATTTCCCTATTATCCCACGGTCTGTCAGGGAAATGCCACAAAGTTCATTTTAACAGGTTCTGTTGTCCCTTTGATTTTATTAACGCCAGTATTTTTTCATTTTAGGTATCGTACCACTTACCTTTTTTCCTTTTTAAACATACCATCTTTAAATCACATGATTTACTGACACAAAAAAAAGCTTTGCAGATTGATTCTTATCCCATCGTTTAAGAGAAAAACGTGACACTCAAAACTTTGCACTGTTTAAATGTTATTTTATTAAATATCTTCGGTTCAAGGTTTCATTGTAACAAAGCTATGAAGGTTCTACCAACATTCAGACCAAACAAACAAACACTAGCTAACTTTAATTATTTCTATTATCATGCAAAAATTCTGCATCAAATGCCTTCCATTTCCTGTTTAAAATGTGATATTTATAATATATATTATATAGATGCTTATATTAGCCCCATAAGAGAACATTAAGAATGCTAAAGGTGTACAGCTGTGTTTGATAATGGCCATACCAAGCTAAGGTTCTCATTAACTTAAAAGGAAACAAAACAAACAAAAAAAACAAAAGAGAGTTTGTCTCCAAGACTGTGCAAAACCAAAAAACCCAACAGTTCTGTTATTTTTAAATTTTCTCTGAAAGATGCAGATACTTAATACAGAGGGTTTTCTTTTTAATTATTAATAATCATCAGGTAAAGAGACGAGGAAGATCAGACCTAAAGAAGGCATGCATAATGTTTTGTATTTATCTTTTTTAAATGGCATAATTGTAATCTCCTGTTTGCTCTCTCTTTGTGGCTTTAAAAAAAGTCTGAATAAAATATCAAGGCTTTTCACTTTTCCACTTCACTCACTGCCTTAGTGCTGTCTTAAAAATGTTTCGAAATAATAAAATCTAGTGTTTGCCCCCTATGGGTTCAATCCCCACGCTCCTCCCTGGGGTGGTGGAGGGAGGAAGAAAAGGGTATATGCTCAGACAAACCTGGGAAGTGTGGATGGCCTTTTCCTTCATCAGGGGTTAGCTGACCTAATCCTGGTGTGGGATAGCACCCCTCTAACAAAGGGAGCAGAGAGCTATCTGTTGCGAAGCGACAGCTCCACTTTGTGCAACAGCTTTTATTTTCTGCACTCTGTTAAATAAGGATTAAAATTCCAAATTGGCTTTCTTCTCTTCCGTGGTCTGTAAAAAAGTTGCCTCACACTTAGTATGCTGTCAATGCAACCACTTTAAACTCCCTCGAAAGATCCGAAAAATAATGATGAGGGGTAGACAGAAATTCAGGTAAAAGCCCATCCCAACTTCTGCAAGTGATGCCTTCCCTTGGTGAAGACAAATCCTATCGGGTCTGCCAGAAAGGCCGGTTTTGGCTTGGGGCTAGGCTCCCTCCTTGGTAAGGTCAACAAAACACTTCCACATTCCCCACCCAATGAATAAAGGAAGTGGACTCCTTTTGCAGCAAAGCAAAGAAAAGAAGATGAATTGGCCCAAAGGACAAGCATCAGATCACATGTGCTAATTGCCTTTCACCTCTGCTTCATGAGGTATCCTCTAACGCCCGGAGGCAACACAGGGAGGTGGCCTGGAGTCCTTCGGCTACGGTTTTTGAGGTTCTGATCTGATAGTTTTCTCTGTTACAACATCACTGTAAAAAATAGAAAAATTACCCAAATAAACACTAGGAAACATGACACTTACAAACATCAGATGGGTTAGTGGTGGGGAGAAGCACCTGGCTGGGGCTGCTGGCTCCCACTGCTACTTTACTCGGAGACCAAACAAATCAAACAGGAGGCCAGGTAACCCCTTTAATTCTATGGGTGCATATATTTCAGTATAAAAAACACACGCTATTTATGCCTCATATAGGAGTGTATGTGCAAGTCTTCATGAAGAACATAACACTAAGTTTTTTGTCTGCTTCCTAAGGAACACGTGTTCTGCAGCACTGTGGATCCCAACTATGCTACTAGAAAGGAGAAAAAAAAAATAGAAAATCCCATACATGTACCCTCTTCCTCTAAAATCTCTGCTCTTAATGCGATGCTTTTTTTTTGTTTTGTTTTGTTAAATTAAATAATCTGGCTTCAAACCTCCGTGTTTGGCCAGGTAGTGGGTGTTTCTAAAACCAGTATCTCTGAAGAGCAAGCTTCTATTTAAGTTATATTCACTTAAACCCATTTTTTTAATCCCTACTTCCACCTTTAGTTTTAAATCAACATCCCATTTCGTTTTTTTTTTCTTTAAAAAAAAAAAAAAAGTCTGTTTTGGGATCCAGCAGAGCAACCAGCTGATCTCCCTGTCTTTATCTCACATTTTCCATTCTTGTTTTCTTCTCCTGCCCTGTTGAGGAGGGGGAGTTTTCCTAACATTTAACCAAGAAGCAATGCCTCAGCATCAGCAGCTCCATCAGAACAGCCATCGCTGCCCACAGCCTTGGCAGGTG